CCGTTGTCTTCCCAGTGGTGTGCTCGGTAGCACCCGATTTTATATTTTTCTGAAATGACCATTTTGCCTTGGGGCTATTTTTGTCCGATTTTCTTGTAATTCGCTTCCGCTACTTTCTTTTGAGTTCCGTGACTTCATGAGAATTCATGGATGTGTCTCGGGAATAATATACATTCTAGGGACATCATTTCCTTGTAAAATGACTATTTTGCCCTTGGGGGCTTATTTGTCATATTTTCTATCTTTTGCTTCCGCGTCAGTTCTCATTGAGTTCCATGACCTCATGGAAGGTCATCAAAGTGTCTTAGAGGTGTGTTGTGCCTTGGGAGACCATTGTCTTATTTCTTGCTTCCGCATTCTGGATTCGTTATCGGATCTACGTTCGGTTCATTACAGGACGCGCTGGCCTAAAAACCAGGGCCATCATACTCTTCATCCTCCTCCTCATCTCTTGCATGGAACTGCAAGGAGCGGTAGAAAGCGCGAACTATCCTAGGGTAGGAAATTTGCATCGGATGTCTCAAGAACCCAAAGCGCTGATGAGCCTGCAAGGCCTCCACTGCCTAGAAGGTATCACAGTGGCGTTGAAAATCCTCTATAACAAAATATGTCTCATTGCAGATCTTACTATACCGCCATGCATCATCTAATGCCATCGCTGGACTCGCTGCCTCGGCCGTCTCGGCATCTCTATAATCCAATATCATTGTCTCAGCTAAACCCTCAACTCTATGCTCCAAGGCTCGAGCTTGAGGTACTGATGCTCGAGCCTGGAACTAGCTAATGCCCGAGCTTAAGGTCCTAATGCTTGAGCCTACTGTAAGCAAATGCTCGAGCCTTAATCTGAAGGCTCGAGCTTTTTGGCTTTCACCCGAAGCAAAACACCCTTAACTCTTCCAAAATCAACTCCAAATCCTCCCCAAACTTCTTCTTAATCACCAAACAACCCCAAACTTTCAACAATAACACCTCAGCCCTCCAAAATCACCCAACTTGTGTTCTTCAAATCCAATTTTAGATTCAGAATTTCTGGAAGTTGAGATGCTTACATGGATTAGATGAGTGTTATAAAGGATTAAGATGAATAATTTTAAGAAATTTGGGTGTTATTTGGTATGAAATCGATGCACACACATATATATATATCGATATATAAAACTACAAGAGATGGGGGATTTCTTACCTTTTTGAATTAAAATCAACACCTGAGCTGATGAGGATGAAAATCGGGATGAGATTTGAGAGAGTTTAGGAGAGATTGGATGCAAAAAGACCAAAGGCACGAGGGTTTGCATCTGTGGCTCGAGGGTTTCTTTCTTTTAAAGTACAGAGGCTCGAGCATCAAGTGTGATGCTTGAGCATGGTCACTGAAAACCCTAAATCTAACGATGATGAAAGGCTCGAGCGTAAGGTACTGATGCTCGAGCCTCAACTTTCATGCTCGAGCATTGCGACACATTTTTTAATTTTTGGATTTTTTTTTTCAATTTTTATTTTTATTTTCTATTTTATTCAAACTTAAACTAACCTAAACCTCAATGAAGACAAATATGAACTTAAAATCTAAAAAAGAAAATAACTAAATCAAAACTTAAAATAATGAAATAAAAATCAAAATAAAATACGGTACAACATACAAATGCTAAGTTTAACGTCGATAGCTTGACAGAATGCTAAGTTTAACGTCGATAGCTCGATGAAAACCTGACCTGTAATGACCTGGTGATTTTCTTTCCTTTCCTTTTTCTCAGATTTTTATAGATAAATTTTTTCCGTTGATTTTTCCTTTCTGAGTACGGTTACTCATCACTTGTGTCATCTCGAGCCCTCGGAAATGGTTTCCGAGACTCTTTCCCTTGGATTGATAACTTCCTTAAAGGACCGCGTCATTTCTACATTTTTCGTTTTTTGACACTATGCACTTTTCGTCCTTTTCCCCGTTTGTCACTTTGTTGGCATAACCTTACTTTTCGTGTTCGGAGTTGAGTTTTGACTTAATGAACCTTCATCCTAAGTGGTTTCCATGAAATACGTATCTTTACTTTTGTAGGAAAGTACTCTGGTTGCTCCTGGTGTTTATAAGGGCATGGATGCAAAGTTTTTCAGAAATATTTTTGTTTCGTGGGGTGTTTTTCATAAATATCTTTTGGAGATATTTTATTTTGGGGGTTTTTAAGAAAATATCTTTTGGAAGATATTTTCATTCTAGGCAGTTTGCAGTTATCCCTTTTTATAGGGGTCATTTTGCAATTAACGAAAGTTATTGCAAAATACCTCGTTTTGAGCCTGAATCCTTGTACAGGATTCATTTTCACATTTCGTTGAGTCATGTACTCTTAGAATTGTCTTGCGGTTGAACCCTACAGTTTTCGGGTTTTCGACCTCAGTTAGCGCCAAACTTGTTTGGGGCATATCTCTCTGTTCGGGACTCGGTTTTCAACGCCATTTCTTCTGTTGTTCATATTTTTTCATTTTCGTTCACGGTGTTTTGCAATTTAAGCACGTCTTCTCAAATACCACTTTTCTAAACCCGGCGGGACCCGTTCGGGGCCTTTTTGAGATTTTCTATAAATAGGGGGTTTGAAAAATTAAAACAGAAATTTCCTCTTTTTCTCCACACATTCTGGATCTGCTCCCAGCCCTTCCATGGCTACCACCTTCTTTTCTTATTTTCCACCTTTTTCTCTCGTGTAAAATGTCGTAGTGCCTTAGCGTTTATTGAAGGCCTTGACGACGCGCACCTTTCCCCCTTATTAGAAGCCGATTCTGACCATTTTTTGAGTTCGGGTTTGACGTCAAGTTAGGATTTTGGTAGGTCCTCTTTGCAGTTTTATGTTCACGGCGTTGTCCCCGACAAAACCCCGAAGTATTATCGGATTCGAAGCGTTTTCGTTTCGGTGGGGATTTGTGATTTCATCACAAAATGAGGTAGGGGATATTTTAGGTTTATATAAATGTTGTATTGAATGTATTTCAAGCTTATACAACTTGAATGCATGTCTAGGTATTTTATCTAGAATTTAATTTAATTATTTTCTTTGTATAAGATTTAAATCTCATGGTTGTATATAGATTAGAATTAAATTATGACATGCTATTAAATTAGGCCTTGATATGTTTGTTAACATATATTAAGTTGGGAGTTTTTGAATAAGTATTGAAATTTTTATTTAATTTTTCACTTGTGTGAAAGTTTAATTCACATGGTTGTAACTAGTATAAAATCAACTTGTAATGTGATATTAAAATAGGCCTTGGTATGTACATTAACCTATGTTAATTTGAGAGCAATTGAAATTGTTTTAAAATCTAGAGAAAATTAATTAATTAATTTTATTTTAAGTGCTTTAGTCAATTGAATGGATTTTTAACTTGATATTGTTGATGAGCTTGGCATGTTCTATCATATATACTAAATTGAGAATATTTGGATAAGTTTAGAGAACTTTATTTATTTATTTTCTTAGCATTGAGTTTAATTTACCTAGTTGTAACTAGTGTAAAATTAACTTGTAATGTGGTTTTAAAGTAGGTCTTGATATGTTCATTAACATGCCTAGAATTGAGAATATTTTAGTGAGCCTTGAATACTTTGTTTAATTATTTTCCTTGTATGGAATTTAATTCACCTAGCGATGCCTAGTGTAGAATTAACTTGTATCATGAAATTGAAATAGGTCTTGATATGACCTTTGACATATTTGAATTCCTAGCGATACCTAGTGTAGAATTAACTTGTATCATGAAATTGAAATAGGTCTTGATATGACCTTTGACATATTTGAATTGTAGAATATTTGGAGTTGCTTTGTAATCTTGAGAATTTAATTACTTAAGATAATTAAATTCCCTTTTATGCTTCCATTGAGATAATTAGGCATTGATGTTGTATACTTGCTTAATTTGTTTTTTGGAACTTGTTATTTGACTACGTGATAGTATTCCATGAATTAAAGTCATGATTTAACTTGTAAATATTCACATTTTCGTATATGACATTTAATATGCCATTGTAGCTTGAATGCCTAGAGCATGGCTTGTGTGTATTCCATGACTTGGTTGTACGTGGTAATTGGTTTTGGTGCATTGTGTATATGTGATATAGTTGTTGCACAACTTGATGATTTTTTTTAGAAAGCTTGTATGGACATTGAAAATTGTTATGGCTAGGGCATGGCTCTAATACGGGGGATGAGAGTTCCCTCTATTTCATATAGTGCGCACCGAGTGGTACCCTGAGGGCTAGTAACCCAAAATCACCAATATAACGGTTTTATTCCAGGTTTAGTTGCGCACTAGGTAGTACCTTGCGGGCTATTATTCCGGAACCACTTGTTTGTTTATTGAGACCATATGTCCTTTGTCTTTCCGCCATTGGTTGATTTCGCATTCAATTCCTATTTTTAATTGTGGATTACTTTTAACTTGTGCTTGGATGCATGGCACTTCATTTCTTGTTTAGTATACTTCGATTTGTATACTTGTACACCTTATATATCAAAAATGCATAGTATACTTGGATTTGTATACTTGTATGCCATGCATGTCAACATTGCTTAGTATACTTAGAAATGTATACTTGAATTTATATGTTGCATTTCCATTTCAATATTGCTTAGTGTACTTAGTGTGTACCCTTATATATTGATGATTTACTTTCTAGATAACCTAGTATACTTATAACTTCTATACTTGTCTTAAGTGCATTTTAATCTTGATTGTATACTTGCGTACGTATACTTATATATTGAATGACTTGTTGCGTGTACCGCATGCTCCTATGTTATTTAAATTGCATGAATGATGTGGTTTATGTTAGGAATACTCTAGGTAGTTTAGGATGATCCCTGAGTCTCACATTTGACATAGACGCTAGGTGGCATGACCATTTGAGTTAAATTATAGTAACTTAATAGGTTTGTAAAACGTTAGGTCTTTGCATGCTCATCTCCTACGAGTATCTTTATGTTACTCACCCACATAGTGGGGACATTTTTCAGGTACCGGGATCAAGATTCGGGATTCACATCATGCTTGAATGATTTGTAGACTTGAAGTTCTCATTTCTTATAAATGTTGGCTTGAAATGCCATTTATAGATTTATATGTCAAAATGTGTAAATTTGATTCTATTTATGTAATGTGTACATAAGTATACTCTTTAGAATGTATTTGACATGTATGAGATGAGGCCATAGGCCAGTGACATCTAATTTGTATCCTATGTAACTTTTAACTTTATGAAATATTATGAAAATATTGAAAAGTGCCAAGTCATTGTCTCACCATGGTTGCATCGGGTGTGAGAATTCCATTTTTATTCTTTCATAGGGTCTCATTAATCATGTTTGAAGTGTGGTCAAGGGCCAAACGGTAATTTGAAATCATTTGTCAATTTTGGTTTTCAAATTTACCATTTCATGTGCATTTTTGCCTTTTTGGCCGTTAGGGGGTCGGATTTTGCATCAGTGGTATTTTTAAGCCATGGACCATTGTAGCGCGTCCAAATAGGTAAGTTACATTTGTGTGCATGGTCGTTTCCGGGCAAACCTTCTTCTTTGGTGAAATAAGCCTCCTATGGATTCATTTTGAAATTTTGTTGCATAATCTGATCTAGGGGCATTCTAGACTTTTCATATCCATTTTATTTTGTTCTTTTGACATGGTCGCTTAGAAAACGTGTTTTAGGAGGGGTTCTTCTTCGTGTTTTTCCAGGAAATTTCGTCTTGGTACCGGAAATCCCTCACAAAGTTCAGTTTTCAGTTTTGCAATGTAACAGCTTTTTAACCCTCACTACCAGATTTCGTGGAGGGGCATTTTGAGCATTTTACAGTGACTTTTTTTTCATTTTCTCTCATGTGATTGGGTAGAAAATTTGATTTCGGGCGGGGTTTCTTTTTCGTGTTTTTCCAAAAAATGTCGTTAAAGGCCTCGTTTTTGCTCTCTGTTATGGCAAATTTCAAAAGAAAATCATGTAGCAGCTTTTTGGTTTTAATCCTCTTGGTCTAAACTGATCTAGGGGCATTTCAGGAATTTTCTTTGAAAAATAAATTCCGGTCTTGACATGGTCACATAGAAAACGTGACAACATTTTTCCAGAAAATGTCGTCTCGGACCCGAAAATCCCGCGTCAAATCTATTTTCTTGTGCGCACCTGCACTATTTGAAAAAGTCTGTTGTAAGGGCATTTTGGGAATTTCATGTCAAAAATAAAATTTTCTTTTGACATGGTCAGCTAAGAAAAATTATTTTAAGTGGGGTTTCTTTTTCGTGTTTTTCCAGAAATCGTCATTTAGTACCTCAAAATGGCACACGAACTTTAGCATTTTGCCAAGGTTACTGTTCATTTATGTCAAAATACTATTCACGGCCTCGGCGACGTCAAAACTTTGTTTTGATTTTTCTCTTCCATCCGGACTCCGAATCAAGTGATTCTTAAGTCTGACTTGATTAATTTTTTGCTGTCTTTCCAAAGGTGTGCTCGGTAGCACCCAGATCTTACTAAAAATTATTATTTTGCCCTTGGGGCTAAACTTGTTTGGTTTTTTTTTTTTTTTTTCCTTTTTCTTTAAATTGCTTCCGCTATGCTTTCTTGTGAATTCCGTTACTTCATAGGAAGTCACGGATGTGTTTTGGGAATGATGTACATTTCTAAAGACGTTGCTTCCAAGTAAAAGACTATTTTGCCCTTGTGGGCTTATTTGGTCTTTTTTTGATCTTTTCTTTCGCATCGGTTCTCGTGGAGTTCCGTGGTCTTATGAAAGGTCACTTTGGTGTCCTAGGGATGTTGTATATCCCTAGAGATTTGTTTTCTGTTTTCGCTTCGGCATTTCGGATCCGTTATCGGGTCAAACTATAGTTCATCACACGACGCACTGGCTTGAAAAACCAGGGCCGTCACATGACCTCTCTAGTCCAAGTAAATAGGATCATGAAGTTCCATTGCCTCAACTGTGCCTCTCTGCACACTACCCTCTATATAGGGTTTAAGTCTCTGTCTATTGACCTTAGACAGTTGTCCAGTCTTGCAATCTTGTATTTCTATTGCACCATAAGGTGTAACAGAAATAACCATGTATGGACCTTCCCAACGTGACTTTAACTTTACAGGAAAAAGTTCCAGTCGTGTATTAAACAAACAAACCTTCTTCCCAGGCTCAAAAGTCTTACGCAAGATATGCTTGTCATGAAATGCCTTAGTCTTTGCTTTGTAAATCTTAGCACTCTCATAAGCATCTTTATGTAATTCTTCAAGCTCGGTTAATTAAAACTTCCTGTTAGAACCAGCAGATGTCATATCAAAGTTAAGCTTTTTAATGGCCAGAAAGCTCTGTATTCTAACTCTACAGGAAGATGGCACCCTTTGCCATAGACAAGGCGGTAAGGTGACATACCAATCGGAGTCTTATATGAAGTACTATAAGCCCACAAAGCATCATTCAGTCTATAAGACCAATCCTTATGATCTAGCTTAACCGTTTTTTCAAGAATTTTCTTAATTTCACAATTGGATATTTCTACTTGGCCATTTGTTTGGGGATGATAGGCAGAAGCAACTTTATGAGTAATGAAGTACCTTTGTATCAAGGTATGGAAATACCTATTATAGAAATGAGCACCCCCATCCCTACTAATAGCTCATACCATACCAAACCAACTAAAAATGTTCATTTGAATGAACTCAACCACGACTGCGTGATGAGCGATTTTAGTAGCTACTGCTTCAACCCATTTAGACACATAGTCAACAACCATAAGAATGTACTCATTTTTATTGAACAGAACAAAAGGACCCATAAAATCAATACCACAAACATCAAAAACCTCAATAACTAAGATTGGAGCTAAGGGCTTCATATTTCTTCTAGAAATCGATCCTAGCTGCTGACATCTAAGGTATGCCCTACAGAATAAATATGCATCCCGAAAGAGTGAAGGCCAAAAGAAACCACATTGAAGAATTTTAGTTATAGTTTTCTTTACACTGAAATGATCTCCACAGGCCAAACTGTGACAAAAGGTTAGAATACTATGAAACTCACTTTCAGGAACGCATCTACGAATGATTTGATTAGCATAGTATTTGAATAGCTGAGGATCTTCCTAATAGTACTTCCTAATTTGGGAAAAGAATCGATATTTTCCCTGCTTTGACCAAGATAAAGGAATTTTGCCTATTGCGAGGTAATTCACAATATTAGCAAACCAAGGCAAATCCATATGAGAAACCTCAAACGGTTGTTCATCCGGGAAGGAATCACACACTGGAAGTGAAGTTTAGGTATCCTCAATCAAAATTCTAGAAAGATGGTTAGCTACAACATTCTCTGACCCTTTCTTATCCCGGATTTCATAATCAAACTCTTGAAGCAAGAGGATCCATTGAATCAAACAAGGTTTGGTTTCCTTTTTAGAAAGAAGATGTTTCAAAGTAGAATAATCAGAATAGACTACGGCTTTGGAACCCAATAGATATGATCTGAATTTATCCAAAGCAAAGATAATTGCAAGTAACTCTTTTTCAGTAGTGGTATAATTTAATTGTGCATCTGAAAGAGTTTTACTAGCATAGTAGATAACATGAGGACGTTTATCCACTCGTTGTCCTAAGACAACACCCATAGCATAATCAGATGCATCACATATAATCTCAAATGGAAGAGCCCAACCCGGAGGATTTATAATAGGAGCTGAAGAAAGAAGAGAGCGAAGCTTTTAGAAAGCTTCAAGACATGATTCATTAAAGACAAAAGGAGCATCCTTTGCAAGTAGATTACACAAAGGACGGGAAATTGTGCTGAAATCTTTAATGAAACGTCGATAGAACCCGGCGTGCCCAAGAAATGATCGCACTCCCCTTACGGAGGTAGGAGGGGGCAATTTAGAGATCAACTCTACTTTAGCTCTATCAACTTCAATACCTCTCTTTGAAATGATATTTCCTAAGACAATACCGTCTTGAACCATAAAATGGCTCTTCTCCCAACTAAGAATAAGATTCGTTTCCCTGCAACGCTGAAGCACTAGGGAAAGATATTGAAGACAGTTTTTGAATGTAGACCCGAAAACAAAGAACTCATCCATAAAGACTTCGAGAAACTTTTCAACCATGCCTGAAAAGATAGACATCATACACCTCTGAAATGTTGCTGGCGCATTACATAATCGGAAAGGCATCCGTCTATATGCAAACGTACCGAATGGATAAGTGAAAGTAGTTTTCTTTTGATCCTTAGGATCAATGGCCACCTAATTATAGCCGAAATAACCATCTAAAAAGCAATAATAGTTCTGGCCAGCCAATCGCTCTAGAATCTGATCAATGAATGGAAGTGGGAAATGATCTTTTCTAGTAGTGGAGTTGAGTTTCCAGTAATCAATACACACACGCCATCCAGTGGTGGTGTATTGTGGAACTAATTCACCCTCAGAATTCTCAACTACTGTAATACCTATCTTTTTAGGTACTACTTGAGTATGACTCACCCACTTGCTATCTGAGATGGGGTATATTATTCCCGCATCTAGCAACTTCACAACTTCTTTCAACACTACCTCCTTCATATTAGGATTTAATCTTCATTGGAGTTCCCGAGATGTTCGAGAATCCTCCTCCAAATGAATCTGATGCATGCAAATTGTGGGGCTAATTCCTTTCAAATCAGCCACACTTCACCCAATAGCCTCTTTATTTTTCTCAAGAACTTTTAAGAGACTACTTTCTTGGGACTTGTAAGATTGGAAACAATGATCACCGGGAGGGTGTCATTTAAACCCAAGAAAGTATACTTGAGCTTTTCCAATAGTGGCTTAAACTCAAGCTTAGGTGGAGACTCTAACGAAGGAATAGGCGGAGTACTAGAAAGTGGTGGAAGCGGCTCTAACCTAGATTTCCATGGAGAAAAATCTGTGATAGGAGTGGAATCTAGTAAAGAATTCAATTTAGCTATTGAAGAATCAATATCAAAATCTTTATAATTGAAGTGATTCAGACAAGCTTCTAAAGGATCCTTGGATAAAATAGTTGGGAGTCATTCCTCAACCAACTCATTAATAACATCAAGGAAGAAGCACTCACTATCATTGTGGGGATGATGAATAACATTGAAGATATTTAACTTGACTTTCATATTTCCAAAAGATAAATCCATAGCTCCAGTCCTACAGTTAATGCAAGCATTCGCTGTGGCTAGGAAAGGTTGCCCAAGAATGACTGGAATATATTTCTTAGAATCGTGGACCGGTTCTGTATCAAGAACTAGAAAAT